ATATATATATATATATATATATATATGTTTATAAGAAGTGATGTTATTGTGGTTCTCCTTGCCCTGGTATTGCATTTTTTTCTTTTTTTTTCTTCTTTTTTTCTTCTTTTTTTCTTCTTTTTTTCTTCTTTTTTTTCTGGGTTTGGTGAAGTTGACAAGACAAAAAAAAAAAAAAAAAAGAAAAAAAAAAACACACAAGAAGAGGGGTAGTGGGGGCCAACTGACCAATTGTTATTAGACTGACATCTGCGGAGTTCCAGCAGGAGTTTAAACCTAAAGGAAATAACGGTAGAACATACAGTAGATAAACTACATAAATAAAAAGAAAGTTATATATATATATATATAGTTATAGATATATATAGATACAATATATATAATATAGGTATTATATATATATATTGTTATATTGATATAGAGGCACACACACACACAAAAGAAGAATAATAATAACAACAACAACACTGAGTCAGTGAGATAAGAGTATATTCATATTTATCTACATCATGAAGTGGTCGTTATCTCGTCGAAAGGAGAATCACAGCCGTACAAATGGAGAGAGAGAACGTATTAAAGTCATTGCATGTGGAAAAGAATATATGGTGCCTGTTGAGGCTAATACACATGTGGAGACACTGCGGCAATATGTAACCGCCATCGCCCTTCCACACTCCAGTGATGCCAACATGCAATCCACACTTTTTCTGAATAACAAGGCACTTCATGAAAAGACAAGAGTGAGTGAACTCCCACCTAATGCCGTTGTGCATCTACACTTTAATGCGGCTGCTACTAATATGGCTGCTGCTGCTGCTGCTGCTGCTAACTCTAATCGCACATCGCCCTCCATTTCCGTAGAAGGAGCTGCTGGACGTGTTTGTAATGGTTGTGGTGGTAATTATATGGTAAATTCACCATCCCCACAAGCACCAATCACAACAGTGGCCGCAGCAACAACAAGAGCCATTCTTGTGCCTGTAATGCCGCTGGCTCTTTGGCCAATGACAAGTATTTATCCCATGGTACAGCAGTTACCATTACTGCAGGATAACAATATGACAATTCTACGTCAACCGGAATATTATGAAGATGGAACGTTTGCTGCACGTTCATACCATCCTTCTTATCCATGTTCTTGTCATTGTCATGATCAGTACTGCTGTAATCATCAGCATCGTGTTTCTCACGAACAACCATCACGAGTGGAAGTGTTGTCGTCATCCGTGATGAATGAGAGAAATAACACTGAAATGAGAACAAGATCATCATCATCACCATCCGTATCTGAGGGGGCAATGATGACAGTTATAGTGAGCACTGAAGGTACTACTACGGCTAATAACATTAATAAGAACAATACCCGTGAACTGCGTGTGAATCGCACCTATCCTGTGGGAACATTACGGGAATTGTTTGACATTTCACCTTCACACCGTTTGTTTATGGGCGACACCCTCGTGGAAGATGAATCCCATTCATTTGAAGGATTATCTGTTGGACCATTTCAACGCTTTACCTTCCGTGAGGCCCCACCATTGTTGGGAATGAATTCCACAGACAATGCGAATGTCAATAAAGTGAAAAAGAGGCATAGAGTTACTGCAGCCACACCGAAATTGGAAGAAGGCATGGTGCCCTCCGCAATTCCATCATTGGCGGTTTCTGATGTCGAGTCTGTGGAGTCCAATGCGCACAGCAGTCCGCGCTCGGCGAGGAACTCACGCCGGCGAATGCGAGAAGAAGGACGGAGTCGTAATCGTCGTGCTCGTACGCCTGTGAATAACAGGAGTCAACAAGATGTGGATAATACTCGATGGACGGATAGAGAGACGGAAAGCAGAGAGTCAATATCAGCGGAAAGTACAGAGAAGATGCGGTATAATAATAATAATAATAATAATAATAATAATAATAATAATAATGACAATAATAATAATAATAATAATAATGACAACCATCATTTAATGAGAAAAAGGAGGGATTCTACAGGAGAGGAAATACAATCCCACTCTGTGAGAAGAGAGTCCTCTGCATCTGTTCCAACTCCCACATCTCTTCAAGAGGAATCCACCGCCGATAAGGAAATGATGATGAGGATCCCGCCGGTGGATGTAAAGGGACGCGGTTCTTCTCAATCTTCTCAATCACTATCACCATCGCATCAATCTCAATCTTCTCAATCGCATCAAACCCCATCGCGGCATTCCCTGCGCGGTTATAACTTTGACAATGATGATGCCTGCGCGATGGGCGGGGAGCCGGTGAGTTCCGACGGGACACGTGTGTTTGTGGAGATGGATCATGTCTACAGCCAGCCACTCCCAACACCGCCAACCGTGCAGCAACAACAAGAAGAACAAGAAGAGCAGGAACGAAGAAGACAACAACAGGAAGAAGAGGAACGAGAAGAACGCAAACAACAACAGGAGGAAGAACGAAGAAGACAGCAAGAACAACAAGAAGGAGAAGAAAGAAGCAGTCATCAGGAAGAACATCAAGAAGAACAGCAGCAAGAAGAGGAAGTAACACAGCAACAAGAAGAAGGGCAAGAAGGAAACAGTCATCAGGAAGGTCAAGAAGAACAACAACAAGAGGAAGAACAACAGCAGCAAGAGGAAAAGAGCAGTCAAGAAGAACTAAGAAGTCATCAAGGACAAGAAGAACAACAACAAGAGGAAGAAGAGCTGACAAGACAGCAAGAACAAGAAGAACTAAATCGAGTACGAGAACGAAGAAGAATGCATGAGGAACGAGAACAAAGAAGAATGTATGAGGAACGAGAACGAAGAAGACATCAACAAGAGCAAGAACAAGAACCAAAAGAAGAAAAACAAGAACCAAAAGAAGATGACCAAAAACAAGAACCAAAAGAAGATGAAGAAGAAAAACAAAGACAAGAACGACGACGCGAACGGAAAAGACGTCATCAAGAACGAAAACAGTTGGGGGACAAAAAGTCTCTTCTGCCGAAATCCACCACAGGGGATCCTCCCACACTAACAAATGTTCAATACTACCCACCATCTAAACACAGCAACAATAAGAATAAGAAGAAGAATAAGGAGAAGGAGGACAAGAAGAATAGCAGCAAAAAAGAAAGTGAAGAGAGAGGAACAGAGCGAGAGAGAAGTGGTAGTGTGGATGGGCAAAGTAAAAAGAGTGTTGAGGGTAATGCTCTAAAACGTGCAAAGGCATCCTTTCTTAAACTCATCTCCGCTGTTAAAGGAGTCTCCAAGACCTCACAAGAAGAAGGAAAGAAACAACAAAAACAGAAGCGACCATCATCATCATCATCATTACGATCATCACAATTATCACGATCACGATCACCATCATCAGAACCACAACCATCAACACCATCACCATCACAACAGCAACAACAACAAAAACAAGAGGAACAAAGAGAAGAAAAACAAGAACAACGAAAAGAAGAAGAAGAAGAAGAAAAATTATTACGACCACCACCACCATTACCACCGTCAGTTACTGTTCAAAGGCGACAGAAGGCAGACGCCAAAAGTCCTTCGACGACGTCAGAGGGTATTGACAATTCCCCAGTGACCCGGACAGGTGCGCAGGTTTCTCCCACATCAATTCTTTCAACAGACTCTATACTGAAGCGAAGCAATGACAGTAACGGTAGTATGCGGAAAAACAGCAGTTTTCGTCAACGCTCCTCAAGCAGCAAAGATGCGGAAGTAACCACATCAAGATCTCAAAGCAGCTCTACAGGAAGGAACAATGCTGATAACGATATCCACAGTAACAAGAACAATAATAATAACAACGACAACAAAAACAAAAACGATAGCAGTGAACACATTCGTATCACTGTGATTGATCCAAACAATCCAGAACGTCATCATTACAACTTACCTGTTAAGCCAAATTGTCCAGTTGGTATTCTGCGTTTTTGGTTATTGAAGAAAGGCGATGAGAAGTGGCAGTGGGCAATTTGTTGTGGCAATAAGGTACTTCAGGGAACTGACACCATTACCTTTCGACAAGTTACTGCTGGACGCAATGATTGTGTATTTTCCCTCCAACCCAGGCATCGCACACAAACATCGCCTCTAGACATCCCTGTTGCCGTGAAAGATGATACACCTCAAGAAGGTTGAATGGTTTATAACCGTATATCTTGTTGAAAACAAAACAAAAACAAAGGATTATTATTATTATTTTATTTTATTTTTTCTTTTTATTTTATTTCCAGTTTACTTCCTCTCCTTTTTTTTTCCCACACTATTATGTCCCTCCCTTTCCCTGTAGACATAAAGGAGTAATACACGGATATATATAACTATATATATATGCACATAGAGTGTCTTATTTTCTTTTTTTATTTATTTTGGGCGCACATTATTGACGCTAATGTTTATCTTTCTGTTGGCTTTTCTTGTATATCTACAAGTTGAGGTTGAATATAAGAACGCGTTTTCCGGTTTTTTTTTTCTTTTTGTTATTGTTGTTATTTCTCCATTAACATTAATAGAAACCTGAATCATCTTGTCTTGTTTTTTCTTATTTTTTTTTCACTGAGCCCTCGGTTATTAACGAAAAGAAGTAAGTTGTTGATCACGGAGTGGGAGTCAAGGAAATAGAAAGGTCTAATTGTTTTAGATTTTATCTTTGAAAATCCATGTTAAGTTCAAGTTTGATTGTCCGAACAGCGGCAACAACTATAAAGAACGCTTCTATCAATACTACTAATACTACTGCTGTTCCTCCCGCGGCATCAAAAGACAGTAGTCAAAAAGAACGTCATGAGGCGTTTACGCGTTTTTTAACAGCAAACAAAGCCAACTTTGATGGAGTAGCACTTTGTCCAAGTACTGATCAATATCGGGGACTTATGGCTATAAGAAAGTTCCGAGAGGGTACAACCGTTTTATCTGTACCAATGCACACCTTTTCCATCACAGCAGATCGTCTACTTAAAAGTGAACATCTCCGTTCACTTAACCCACCAACACTGGATGATGTTCGTCGTCTCATGACTGCACGGAGTATAAAAGATCCTGTTTTATATGAACAAGTGTATCTTGCACTTTTAATTGCTGGAGAACGACTCAATTTAAACTCTTTTTTTACACCGTATTTTGATGCTCTACCGTATCCAGCCATAGACGATGAGGCAGTGATGCGTCTACATAAGGATGTACTTGATCCCTTACAACTTGTGGAATGGGATGATCATCAAAGAGAATGGCTGACAATCTTTCGCACATTGGTTCGCCGTTGGGGGACTAAAAGTCCTCCGATAGAAGTTTGCTACTGGGCATGGCGTACAGTTCTGAGCCGAATGCACATGCTTCCAGATCGCGGTCTAGCTCCAGCGGAAGTGGGTTCCAATCTCAACTATTTTGCACTTTCCACATTTGAGCGAGCAGAGCGACAGACACGCATCTTAAAGCGTATTCGTGCAACTATTGGTAGTGTGTTGGGTAATGATAATGCGGCAGAGGACTATCGTCTCGTTCCTACATTGGTACCTTTGCTAGATATGACAAATCACTTGTCATCCGGTAATGTGTGTGTTGAGGTACAACCCCGTGGAGAGATGGGGAGCTGTGTCGAACTACAGGCAGTACGTGAGATTGAAAGTGGAGAACAAATTGGTTTCTGCTTTAATCGTTCCCAAGGACCCGCATTTACACTTTATCGATTTGGGTTTCTTCCACTATGATGAAGAGGTGTGTTTGATGTGTTTTGTATGTTTCTATTATGTCTGATCTGGCATCTGTAAGCCTTAAATATTTTCTGTTCCATCCTGTGAATGGGAGGTGAGGGATTTTTTTTTTTTTTCTTTTTTTCTTTTTTTTTTTGTGTGTGTGTATGTGTGTGCATGCATGTAAAGATGTTTAGTGTAGTTGTCTAGTGCCACCTTACACCTAGACATCCACTTCTTTCTTTTTCTTCGGAATTGTTCTTCATTTTATATAAAGAACTCATAAATTCACAAGGAAGGACGACTGAGATCCTTCATGCTACTGTGTTATCAGGAAGGAAGTAAGAAAGAGTGAGTCGTGGTGGTTCTGATTGTGGTGTTGCAGTTCCACTAATTATTACTGGCTCTAGTACACTATTCTTTTTTTTTATTATTTATTTCTTTAGGGCGGTGGGGGGTTGGGTAAAAAAAAAAAAAAGAGTGAGAGAAAGAGAGAAAACATCAATACAGAAAAAAAAAAAAAAAAAACCAATAATCAAAGTACGGGTAACTAAGAAAGAGAAATTGAATGGTGAAACTTGTACCACCTCTCTTGGTGAATGCGAAACTAGTCGCCAAGATGCGCCTCGCTACATCTTTGGCCCGTGAAAAAATTAGTTGTATCCCCCGTGATATCCTTTGGCCCTCTGTAGTACTGGCTGGAGAATACATTCAGGTCTGCATGGTTGCCTACCGTACATATCTGCATATTCGATTACAACAAGCATTGCGATTGGCGGTGGCTGCACCCACTGCCGCTACGACATTGTACTTGGGATGTGTATCCCTCGTCTGGTATCCAGAGCCGGGAGCTACATTAGACACGAGCAGCGTGGCAGCCCTTCCATTGCCCCGCACGACGGAGGAATTATTAAAGTTTGGACGGGACTGTGCCCGTCGATATCATCAACAATGCGATGCTGGTGAAACGTTGGGAGCGGCGGCAAGGAATGAGTTTGTGGGCGATATGCTTTGTATGATGCGGGCTCTTGCAGCCATTGAGGGAACGTTTGAGGAGCGGACGCTTGTGACGGCATCACTTAGTGGTAGAAAATCCTCACATGATGTGGAGTACGCGGCCTCACCAGCAGAGGAGGTCTTGCGCATTGTGCTCTCCATCTCACTTGATCAAGGGTGGTTCGATATTGTGGAGGAGGCACGAAAAAAATTTGAAATTCTTGTGCGGGAACGTCCAGTACCACCGCAAGCGAATGTCGCCAGTGCAGTGGCTGATTTGTGTGCGCTATCGTATGAACTAGAACGCTGTACAAGTTCAGAAGAAGTGACAATTATACAGCGTCAGCGTGTGGCGAGAGCGGTGGACGCATTTAGACCAGAAAACTCTGTGCGGGAACGCTGTACCATCGCTGCAGAAATTAACGTTCTTCCACTTGTAGATCTAGACAAGAAGACACGTTGTCTCATGCTAACACGACGTAGTCCTGGGAGACGACCACAACTCATTATTACGTTTATAGGCACAAATAGCATTCGAAATTGGTGGACAAACTTTAACTATACCACAACAGAGCTACCTATATCTTTTGGAATGCAGTGTTTTGTTCATAAGGGCTATTTAGAATTATTGGAGTCTATTGCATTTGATAAGGCTGCCATGGAGTTTGACCAGATTATTCTTATTGGTCATAGCTTGGGTGGGGCTCTTGCGCAACTTGGAGGTCTTTATTTGGCAAACGCTCGTCCTGAGAGAAGAGTTACAGTTCTTACAGTGGCATCACCTCGAGTCTTTTCTAATAGTCGAGGTATCTGGCAGCGCGGCAAAGATTGGTTAATATCTAATTCCAAATTAGATGAGAATATGATTGATCTCCCTAGTAATTGCCGTCATATTCGTGCTTTTATGTGCGCAGATGTGGTGCCAAAGCTACCTCCATCCCTCCTTGGTTACCAACATGTGGGAACACCGTTGCCTTTACACACAGGATGTCTCACACGATTGTCCTTTGTAGGATGGGGACTCTGGTCCTGTTTGTTTCATAGCGCGGATATGTATAAATCGGTGTTGGAGCAACCTGTTGTAGCTCAGCTTCACCGTTACGAGAATGTAACAGCACCTCCTTCCCACAAGGAAGGGAAAGAAATAGATTGACTAAAATTGGCAGTGATTTTTTTTTTTTTTCTCTCTCTCTCTCTCTCACACACACACACAGAAAGAGAGAGAGAGAGAGAGTGAGTGTCTGTCTTTGTGTGCGACAGGAGCGGGGTAATAGTGGTGGAATGAATGATCCCTATTGATGCTTTTTTTTTTTTTCTTGGAGAATTTCGTCAAACCGGATTCTTCGGTTTGTTTCATGTGCATGTGTGCAAGTATGGATTGTCTTAAATTCAATTGTTTTTTGGTTTTATTATTATTATTATTATTATTATTATTATTATTATTATTATTATTATTATTTCTTCTTATTCTTGGGTTTTTCTTTCTGTACCGTTATTTATTCTTTTTTTTTTTTTTCTTTTTATCCTTTTGCAAAGCCCAGAGAAGGAAGAAAAAAAAACGGGGAACGACCACAGACGCAAGAGTCATGGAGTCCCAAAAGAATGCTCACCGTCTCAACCGTATTTTCCGCAAGCCCAAGACGATGGTGGCGCCTCGCGAATGGCATGAGGATGGGGAGGAGGTTGGTCAGCACGATGGTGTTTTGCTCTCGTGTTTAAATACAATGACCAAAGAACTGACAGAGGATGAAAAGAAACGTGCGGTGGCTAACCAAGATCCGCCGTCGGCAGTGGAAGAGGAGCTCGCAAAGCGTGCAGCCCGTTTTGGTCTTACTGTGGGTGCTGCTGTTGCTGCTGGTGGTAACAATACTAATAACAACAATGATGGTCTTGGCTCCCTTGCAGATGGTGAGGCTATGGGGAAACGCATGCAACGCTTCGGCACGGTGGAACCAGAACCGTTAGTGGTGGACGAGGAAACACTGAAATCACGTGAGGCCCGTTTCAAGACACAAGAGCAGCAGGAAATGGATGAGGCGATGCAGGCGCGACTTGCACGGTTTGGTGGAGCTCCCGCACAGGTAGAGCTCAAGTTGTCTGAAGCCGACCGTGAGGCTATGCTGCGTCGCCAGAACCGTTTTGCTGCCTGAGTCGAACATGCGCAGAACTTTGGGTGTAATTCTTTTTGTTGTTCTCGTTTTCTGCGGGCGTTGCATATATATATATATATATATATATATATATATATATATATTGTATGCGTGTGTGTGTGTGTGTGCAAGAAAGTGATTAGATTAAAGAAAAAAAAAAGGAGATGGAGGTAATAGAAGCACGGCATGCGAGTGTGTGTGTGTGTGAGAGAGAGATATTAAGGGGGAGCAAGGGTTTAAATGCAACTACAAAGTGAGAAGAAAGACAGAAGAAATTGTTTCTGTCGTGTCTTTTACCTCTCGATACTCTCTTTTTCTTACTCCTTTCTGTATTTACTTATCCGTCAAAAAAAATTTTCTTTCTTGTTGTGCCTACTTTGTAAAAAGGGTGGTGTACCATTATGTGTCTCTGATGAAAAATTCCATTGTTTTTTTTTTTTTTTTTCGAAATTCGTCACCATAAAGTTTGACACAATGTATAGGCACTGTAAAGAACTTTACAAAAAAATAAAAATAAAAAAGAAACAAGAATAATACTACACACACATATATATATCTCTTAAGTGACAGTAAAACCTAACTTTAGCTACGATTTCTCTTCTTTCTTCAGAAGTGTGAACACAAATGACAGCCTTAGTGACAGAGGAGTCCTATATGTCTTTATCCAATAGAGAAATCATCATTTGAAACCCCTTTAGTGACCAGAGATACTTTCCATGAATAATTGAAGGTTCTCTCTCGGGGCTCGCGTGTGATCGTTTCGCCGGGTGGGGGTTCGAAATGCTTGTGAATGACCGGGGAGATAACTCAAATAGAGAAGAAATATGGGTCAGAATGCATTGAATGTCTATAGGTTTTTGACTGCTATAGTATTTATGTATATATGTCTGTGTGTATATATATGTGGAATATAGTTCTGCAAAAGTGTTGTGGGTCTCTAAAATACTGTGGAAGGAATGTACGCCTTGACAAGAGTTAATAAGTTTGCGTCGATACTTAGTTTCCGCCTAAGACTATGGAGTTCGTTTTTTTTTTTTTTTTCTGAAAGCAACTCTCTGTTCATGTGTACTGCTGTGCTAAAAGTTTGTAAAGAGAAATAATATCCTCAGACATGGATTAATTTGATAATAATAATAATAATAATAATAATAATAATAATAATGACTCATGGGTGCGGCGAGTTTTTTTTTTTCATCTGTTTCTTATTTGTGGGTTTCAGTCCATTTGATGGACCGAATGAGTGAGATGATGGGGGATTAAGGGTTGTTTTCTTTTTTATTATTTCCTTTTCGATTTCCCATTCATCCGTTGAACCCCTCTACTCAAGGAGGATATGCAGAGATGGGGATACTCGCAGCTCCCACAACGTGAGTCCAATCTTGTTAGAATAACTATTGATTAAGGTTTTCCATAAGTGATATGGACCTGGGTGTTTGGTGTCTGTAAACTGTAGTCGAAGGCAAGAAGTCCCAAGGGGTTTTCTCCCCTTCTTTGTATCTTGGTAGTTGTTTTTTTCTGTTTCGTTTTTCTTACATTTCTTGTCTCTTTTCATGTTGTGTGACATTCCAGTTTTCTTTTCCTTTTTTTCTTTTTGTTTGTTCCTTGTATCTGTAAGTGCGTTAGGGGGGAAAACCCGTTGCCGCTGTGCTTGTGGGATGGCCGCTCGGGCACCCAACAACAATAACAGTAGCAATAGAAACGAAAACAGGAGGGAAAAGAATGAAACAGATCCTGTTCCTGTACAAATGACTAGTTTAGTTCCTGTAAGGGTTGTTAGCGTACATGGTGATTTCTTCGACACAGAACTGCATCAAGATGCCCCTCTGCGTATCTTACAGAGTGCAGTGGAGGATTGTTTTAAGGTGCGTCCAGAGCTGCAGTTACTTACGCACAATCGTCAGCAAATTAATACTAATGTTTCTCTTAGACGAAATGGCTGTTTGTTACTGAAAGGTGATCCGTATGTGAAAATTGTCCTTGATATTAAGAAAGGTACAAAACTTAATCTTGTCTGCCAAATGGCGCATACTGAGCCCATTCCGTTAGCTTGTGAAAGCGCGGATACCGTTTGGGAAGTAAAGAAGAAGTTTTGTGCTGCTCTTGGAAAGGTCGATCTGACACCGCAACGAATTCGTTTATTATGGAGATACTGGGAACTTAACGATAAGGCTACCCTAGATTACTACCACCTCCCCACCAATGCAAAACTATCGGTGATGAAAAAGCGCGGGTTTGCTACTAAACCCCAACAACAACAAGAAGAAAAACGGGTAACGAACTCATCCAAAGCAGATGCCGGAACTAAAAGCCTTGGTGATGCGGGAATAGTTGGATTAATGCACCATCGGGCTCCTAGTAACAATAGTAATACTGCTGCCGGCGCAAGAACTCTTGTTAATGAAAAAAACAGAGCAGTAACTGACATTGCTGCATCATCTACTTCAATTTGGCCATCTCATTCCAAGCAATATGGACGAGCCGTTATTCCTATTGATTCGACTATAGATTACGGAGCTGCCGCTACTCCTACAGAGTTTCGAGATCAAGCACATGCTTTGCCCGTGCAAGGAGGTGAACTGGTGAAGCTGTCTCAGACAGTACCTTTGTCAGAGCTCAACCGTTTAAAGCAGGAAATTGCTTCCCTTGAACGTCGTATTGAGTTATCCGATGCAGATCGGGCCGGGTATCAGTTGCTTGAGGAGTCTTACCGTGCAACATTGGGCCGCGTGACGGAGCTAGAAGCCACACTGGGAAGGTTCCAGCACCTGCTCAAGCGGGCGCTGACACTAATGTGATTTTTTTTTTTTTTTTTTTCGTGGTTTTCCACGTTCTGCAAGGAGATGAAAAAAAAGCTGAGGTTGTATCTTTGCATGTGTGCCCCCGTGGTTTCCCATTTGGTGTTTCTCCCACGTGCTCTCGTGGTGTTTTAGCCTGGTGACTTGTGGACGTGTGTCCCCTTTTTTTCTGTATTTACGTGCAAATAAATATACAGTTTATTTTTCTTCCATACATTCATCACGTTTTAGTTATTCTAACCTGTTCTGTTTTTTTTTTTTTTTTCCTTTTCTCTATTCTTGCTTTTCTTGTGTTATTAAACTTGCAAAGAAAGATAATTCAACACGAGAAATTTATTCAAGCTACGGGAAAGATCAAATGCCCAAAGTGCGAGACACTTCCATGATCGTTGTGGGTGCCCTCGGGTTCGTTGCTGTTGCAGCTGGCGGCCTCGGTACCCACGTGCTTGATCCGTACCTGACGCCCGAAGAAAAGAAGGCCTGGGGTCTGGCAATGCAGTTTAACCTTGTTCACGCTGCCGCGCTAATGGCCGTTTTCGCGACCCTGAAGAATGTGGACCCCGACAGCTCCGCCTCAAGGAACCTTACTCGCTCCTTCTATCTATTACTCGCCGGAACCGTACTTTTTGCAGGTTCTATCTACGCAATGTGTCTTGGCGCACCGCCAAAAACAGTGGGTCCCTTGACGCCCGTTGGTGGCATAACTCTGATGTTGGGATGGATTTTCACTGCGTTAGCAGGCTTCTAATGAAGTTTTCGGTCAGGAAACTGACACAGCCAAGTAGTAATAAAATTGGGTATCAACTTTGTCAACATACAGATAGGGGAATAGTCAACAATGTCTGTATTCACTTTTTTAATGTATTGGGTTATGGTAGGAAAGAAATAAGATCAGGGAAAAACAGTCAACTACTAAATCAAACTCCACACCTTGGAACGATGCGTGTCCATATCTGAAAGTGCGTATTAGACTGCCTGCTGGATTCTATGTGTTACTCGGTAGTTGGCGTATCTCATTTGTTTTTAACCTTTTCCTCCTTTGCCCTTTCTTTCCTTTCTTTCTGCACACAGCCTTTACAAGCTTCTCAGCGATAACACACAGTTATGCACACTCCGTGCGCGCGCGCC